AGTACGACGCCCAGTTCCTGGGCACACACAAAATTTGGGTGGGCACGGCCGAGTGTCACATGGAACTGGACACAGCTGATGCTTGCGCGTTCTCTGCCTGATGCAATCCCCATCTATGAAAAACCTGCGCATTCGTCAGGTTGGAACTCCAGGCGTCTAAAATCCTGCTGCATTCCTCACCTTGGAAATGCTGGTGCATTTTCTCCGCGTGGCAAAATCAAATCCCTTCCTGGTGGATTCTCAACCTTGGAGAACCCTGATGCATTCCACTACTTGGAAATCCGTTCTCCCCCAAGCGAAATTATCGTGCTACCATCTTCACCCGAATAGAATGCCCGGTCATTACCGCTGTATCTAGACTGAAGGTTGACCCAAATTCAGGTGAAGGATCGTGTATTCCACACCTCAGAAATCCTGGCACATTCCACACCTCACAGTGCAAAGCGTTCACACTTAGACGTGCACGGCTTAGTCTTTGAGACAAGCATATGACTACCACACATGGTTAGCGGGGGGACCACCACTTTCAGCTCCTGATTTACAGCTCCAAAACTGAAATTAGGGTTTGGGGGTCAAAATTTATGGGTTTTTAATAAAACTTTTTACAACTTTTTATTAGTTTTTAACTTTTTTTTGTTTTTTGGTTGCCTGTTTTTATTTTGGTTCAAGGTTGCTGTGTGTCAAATATGGAATCATTTGGATCATTAGAATTTCCTCCAAATTTCAGGAAAGTGCACTTTTGCCTTGCCGTTTTATAGGGGTTTTTTTTTTTTTTTTTTTTTTTTTTGGAATTAGTTAGTATGGTCTCCAGACTCTCCGCTCTATACATTGGTGGCAAGTTTGGTTAAAATGACCCTTGGGTTAGTTATAAATGGCATGACAAGTTGTCCGGAATTTTCAGCCTCCGATAACCGGCTCTCATCACACCAACCAGCCCAGCAAAAGAATGTTGAAGCATCGTGCGATATGATATGACCTACCGAGACCCGACAAAAAAAATGTCTGGCCCGTTGGATTGCAGGTAGAATCCCCCTCCTCCCGAGGCCAGTGTCGTCAACCCTGATGCTGTTTACACCGCCAAAGCTGTGCCCATCACAAGATGAAGCAGTAACGGTCCTTCCAATTGCCACAGGGCTGCCAAGCCAAGCTATGGTCTTGCGGAGCCTGTTCCGTGGAATCTCAGTTAGATATCTATATCCTTCCATAGCTCAGTGAAGGGTATACCGTTCGCCGTCCGTCAACATCGGGTAACTTGTTGGTCACTGATAGCACACCGGCCTTTACGGAAGCTATCTGGTTCCCCGAGTTGTCCTTTCCTCAAGCCCCAATTCTAGACCTCACCCATTTTCATCTGACTCTACTCATTCTACTGCATCCTCGCGTGGGGATCATGCTAATATTCTCTGGATTCGTTCCAATTTTAGGGGGATGTCCGAAAGGACATAACTCGCCTGCCTCATCACCCCAGTCAAATCATTTTTCCTTTTGTTTTTCTTTTTCTCTTTGTTTTCTCCATCTCACTTCAAGTACCTTCTTCCTGTTGTCAACTGTCTTTTTCTGTGGTCTTCTCTGTCTAAGTGAGTACCCTCAAGATGTGCCAAATAGCCATTGCCTCTTGTATGGAGTCCGGGCAACAAAACTAGAGGGCCACTGTGTTCAGGATGCCCGTGTGCCGGTGTGTTCCATGGGTGATGGCAGACATTCGTTGAAGTGACTCCCTCCCTCCTATGCTGGTGTGAACTTACAGCCTGTAGAGTTGTTTTATTTTTTTTTAATTTTTTTTTGAACTACAGCCTGTAGAGTTGTAGTTGTGGTGTGAGTAGGTGATGATTCGCTTTGGTCTGTGCTGTAGAGCAGACTCCCTTGCCGGTGCTGCTTTGCTGCCTTGCTCTTCCGCTTGCCTTGTCTTGTCGCCTTACCCTTGCCTGTGCTTCCCCACTGCTTTGCTGCCCTCTTCTTGCTTGCCCTGTGTGCTCACTACCTTGCTGCCCATCAGCTTTGCCCCTCCCTACGCCTCACTGCAGTGTCGCCTCACAACCTTGGTGCCATGCTGCCTTGTTGCCTGCTGCTCATCATGCCACCAAGCTGCTTGAATTGACGTTTGGCCGCCCAGTGGCCTCCTCCGTGCCCTCTGGCCTATGTGCTTTCCTGCTGCTGGCCCCTTTCGATGCTTTGTTGCCTCCCCCTCACCTTGGCGTTGGCTGTCCACTTTCAACACGGGTTAAAGGAGATGATTACTCAAAACATCAGTAAGGGGATTGTGCAGGCTGTCGAAGTTTCAGCCACCTAATGAGTCAGTGCAAGTTCAGTGAAACAGTCTGTCATAATACACGCTCTCCCTTTTTTTTTCTATCTTCCTTTTCTTTCTCTATCTGTTTTGGCAAAAGGTCATGGTTTTGCTTTATCATTGGATCGCCCATACCATTGGCATCCCAAGTATCTGAGGGAAGGGCCCCACCGGCCTCCTAAGTCCTCCTTATCTAGGTTTTCAAATCCAACGTTTTTTTCTTTTCTTTTCTTTTCTTTTCTTTTCTTTTTTTTGAAGACGCTCCCATCCATTTGTGATTGAAGACGCTCCAATCTATTTGTGAAAAGCAACACATGCTGGGAACCGCACCCAGCGTCCCATATCCAACGTATGCTATCCGGAGTCGAATTTTGTAATCTGATTGGAACCTCCAGATTTCCTAGCAAAGGCGTAGAGTCCATAGACATAGCAAGTAGCGACTCCCTCTACCTGAGGAATGTCTGATGATACCCGTCAGTCATACGTTGTCGTATTCTCTCGGAGTATTCTACCGCAGGCAGGGTCGAATTGCAAGCCAACCAAATGCTCCGGTGTCCTGATCGGGCCTAGGGAAACCCTGCATATGCCTTTGATTAGCAATGACCCTCGGTTTCCTTCCATCAGTTGCGAGTGACGTGACGGGCTGGCTATACATACAGAGCTAATCATTGGGCAACCTTCCCAGATCTCGCCCGCTTCACAGCTTCCTCCGAGGACTTAGAAAAAGAAAAATCTTCTTAGGATTTTTTTATTCCAACAGACCAACACACGTATTTTCCCACTATTGCATCTTAATCAGTCCAGTTCTACGCCCGCACCGCGTGATGGCCCATGTTTTATTTTTTGGGGCAAGTACGCTATGTCAGAAGTTCAGAACAGAGTTTGGGCCAAAAAAAAGAAACTGCGTGTGGGCAAACAAAACAGCTGCCGAGTTCAAAAGAAGGCAAAATGGAAGTACCGTGGCCGTGAAAGAGACACAGGTGTCATAACTACAGAGGTGTGACATGGTGTCGGACGGGAAAGGGGAAAAAAGGAAAAAAAAAAAGAATGACCAAGTTGGCCAGACACAGGTGTCATAACTACAGAGGTGGGCCATGGTGTCGGACGGGAAAGGGGAAAAAAGGGAAAAAAAAAAGAAGGGCCAAGTTGGCCAACGGATCTATTTTCACTACGTGCCCATTCGAGTTTGGTGGAACCTGCCGCATCCGCACATGTTTCTTTTTCTTTTTTTTTTTCTCTTCCGGATTGGCGCACATTCATTCTCCTGCTGAGAAGGCATTGGCGTGCACTGCTGCACCTGACCACATCCACAGGATCAGTTCACTGCTGCCATCAGGAGGGATCTAATAAAATCCCTACACACCCACAACCCACATCCACAGGATGCAAACAGCACTCTTTCCCTACCAGCTTCCCCCAAACATAAAAACACCCCGATCATGAATGCGTACAGGCTACCTTTCCGTTTCAATACCGTCATTATCAGCGTGCTTTGCGTTTGGGGGAAGACGGTAGTGTCATTACGAAAAACAGCCATGGGATCCTCCGTTCCTTAACAGCTGTGAAGTTTGAACATCCAAAAACCTGCTCAATCTTGTTTTTTTTTTTTCAATACTTGAACAGCCAGAAGACAATACTTGTAAGGTAACACAAAGGAAGATAACCGGATGGGCTACAACACCTGCTCAATCTTTTTTTTTTTTTTTTGAATAATACCTGCTCAATCTCATGTTGTTGCAGAGCCAGCTTATAAAAGGGCCGCTTGTAGGGGAGACGTACTCGTGAACTGGATCGTGCAAGCTTGCGCTTTGCATTCAGCTCTCGATCCCTGCAACGAAGCCGGCCAGGGATGAACACACGTGAAATTACCACAAATTCCATGGAAAAAAACAAGTGCATGAATCCCTCAAACCATAAATCAGCACGCATGCTTGGGAGGGCAGCAAGCCCCTTCCCTTTTCTTTTCTTTTCTTTTCTTTTCTTTTCTTTTTTTTGAGTGATGGGGGTAGCCCCTAACTTTATTTTGTTCATCTGATCAGACTTATATCCAAAAAGGCTTTAATTTCGACTCTCGTTTTCCGTTTAATAACGGTTACATGTGCGTAGCGTATCATTCAGCCACATGGGAGACGAACTTCGCAGCAACAAAAAAACGGACTTTTTCTTTTCTTCTTTTTTAGAGTAAAAGTGCAACCTTTCAAAAATCCCAGGGTTGGCTCCACGCAAGACCATGACTTCAGTGCGTGTCTGTTCACTCAACTTCACTGGTCTCTCATCTCTGTCATCCATGGCGGCCCTCGTTGCCATATCCCATTGGTGTCATCCCAGGGTTGCAGAGAATATAAACGATTACTCAAAATAATATTATATAAAAGAAAAGAGGGGAAAAGGAGTTCAAGTCTGCAAGGCAGTTCAATTTATTTTTATTAAATACAAAAAAAATTGTAAGTGCACTAAACAACTGTGTCACCGGCCATCTGAACTGTTATGCATGACTGGTGGCCTCAACCTGCCGACTGGTCATCCCATGGTCAGAGACTCGACCGCAGGCTGACCACTCCTGCATAACCAGGCTCCACCTCCCGCTTCTCCCCCCCGCCTCCCCCCACTGCTCCCCACTCCCCCCGGGGCCCAAAAAAATATGCCACAGGTTCAACGCCAGGTCCTATCTGTACAAGTCAAGCTGTCCACATGCTTTCTCAGAAGCCGGCAGTTGCTGGTTCGAGGCTCAGTACCTCTGTAAGCCCCGAGTGTAAAAACTATGCTAACTACACAGCAGTCTTTTGAATCAGATTTCACAAGCAAATAACTCACTCGGATAGCCAGCCTCAACAAAGACACACGCGCACACACACACACACACAGACACACACACACAGACACACACACACACACACACACACACACACCAAAAAAAAAAAAAAAAAAAAAAAACACATCGGCACTATTTCTTGTTTCCAACACCAGTTTCTGCTGCGCGCCAAGTTTCACAGACTGGTAGCTTAATAAGTTAATAATAGTGTTAAGTTGTTAGTCATGCGGTAGGCCAGTCACGGAGGACGGGAGATGTTCACCCCCGCGTCAAAACAAAATGGCAGGAAACGTGATGATCGCCTAATAAGATCTATTGGATAATATGCCTACATCCACCCAATCTACATTTTCATGACGCCCACAGCGCCTTCTATTCCGGTGAAGATGAAAAAGGCCAAATGAGTGATGCTGAGCTGATGAAGAGAGGAGGGAGGAGTCGATAAAGGGAGGTGGTGCAAACACTAAGGATACAAAATATCTGGAGGATTCAAATTTTAAGCCCGAATGTGCTATCCCACCCATGAGACCCAGCCACTTCCACAGAAACCAGTATTTTGGGCCCACTTTTTCAACCTTCAAGGAAGGCACACAAGTACTAAGAAGGTGACTTGAAGAGAAAAAAAAAAGGGGAGTGGGGGGGGAAGGAGCGTACACAAGTCATGTTTCAAAGGAAAGGGACACCGGAAGGAGGAAAGAAAATAAAAGGAAAAAGTCCGAAAAACCCAAAATGTGTCAATCAGTGCATAAAGATCTGACGGTTCTGACCAATGAGCTTATTATAAGAGATAGTGGTCAACTTACTACTAGGTCTTTTTTTTTTTTTTTCTTAAAAAAAAAAAAGAAAAAGAAAAGAGAGAGTGATAGTGGGC